TCATAACTTTCATATTTCATAAGCTACATTCAAAAGGTGGGTGTCGTATGAGAGCTGTAACTGTCTTCTCTCCAGTCAAATAGATGGGTAATGTAATTTTAAACCCTCATAATAAAAGAAGCTGAACTCACAATTTTTTTGTCTGCTGAAAGTCGACCCATTTTTCCACAAATCTGGGCTATAAACTATAAACAGATGGCGTCTCTTCAGTGATCTGCTCTGTAAAAATTATTTTTTTTAAAAAATACAAAGAGAGTCTAAGATTTTTGGCTTTCAGCAGTAAATTGTAAGCATATGGCAATATGTGTAGATCATTAAACACATTTTCAATGTACCCTTGTCAATAAGAGGTTAAGAAAAAGTACAAACCCCTTCCGCACAGAATATAATGGAATATTTACCAACATTTCACGCAGCATTAATAGAATCAGGGTTATCTCTACAGTTTGTTTTGTAAAAGGTAAAAGTCACCAGAATCTTTCCTGAGCATTCAGTCCATAAAAATTACTGTCAGATTCGTACCGGACTAAAAGCATCTGAGAAACATCATTGGTGATTACATTACCCCACCTCCCCATACAATCTTGTCAGAATATCATGAAAGTCAAATATTATTAGTGACGTTGGTATCGATGTATGAATTTATTCCCTAAACAGAAAAAAAATAGATTCCTAAACAACAAATTACTTTTCTGCAGTCAGCAAGGTCTCAGCATGTGTGGATCCTCTTCAGTCCTGTTGGAAAAGCATCTCAGGTGGCTTCTCTTGAAGCTGCTTCAGAGAACATGTGAAGCTGCATGAAACTACAGTTAGCAGCTGTGAAGAATCTGAAATGGATGATTTTGTTTTTGACTCTTCCCTTTGGTCTCTGCATAATTCCATATGTGTTCTTTCATAGTCTTTGAATCTGGATGAAACTTGAGATTCCATGGTTCATGGGACTGTTTACTAAACAGTCATAATCAAATGGAATTGTTATGAGGTCAGAGGTTTACGCCCTTATGAGTGGGCTGACCATGCCTTTGTTTTATGCTCATTTTGATTCTCTCAGCTGTGGCCACGAAAACATACCAGTCTACTTAGGTCATAGGAAGAAGGACACAAGCGTGCGCACTCTGTTCTTCCCCGAGGCTGAGTAATTCCAAGCTCTGCTGGTTCTCTACGGCCCAGTTAGGCTACCTTATCCTGACCTCGGGGAGTCAGGCTAAAAACAGCTTCATTCGGAGTGTTTTTTTATAAGCAGTTAAGCCTTAGGTTAGTCTTAGTAATGTTGCATGCTACATTGTCAGAGCTGCATATCAGGGAAAGTCATTTCTTTTTCAATTCCATTTCAGTCAAATCAGAAAAATGGATCACATTTGGTTTTTGCTTCTTTAGTTTTGCACAAGGAATATAAGCATAAACTCCAGCCACTGGCTTTGTGCAGACTGCATGCCTGAATCATCACACATTTGCCTGATGTTTATTCACACTATCAGAGTTGTGTGTTAAATGTGTGAAGCATTAATGACCACTGTCACAACAGACCTGCAACACCATAAGCAGCTTTTTAAGGAATTAAATATGTATTTATTTGTTTTTCTAGGTGTTTATAGAAAATTAAAATATATATATTTATTCATTTTTGTGGGCCTGTATAGAAAAAGCTGTTCAGGGAATCCAGCCTGTTTTTCTAATAGCCTTACAGTTCACAGACATGTGCTTACAATTGTAATGTAAGTAGCTGTTAGTATATCTCGACCTTTATTTATTTTAGACATGGCACAGTAGTGAAACGTGAATTTGTCACTACTCATGTCTTTAATATTAAGGGAGGAGATGGGCCAGAACGCACTGGTAGTAAACATCGAGATGGAACGGTGTTCCAGCTCAAATTATGAAAACATAGGTAACTATTTTTATAGAGAAATCACGTGTTCTTATTGTACTCTGTTCTAGTGTGAGCATGAAGCGAAGTGTCTGTTGAACACACCTGAAGTTCAGTATACAGCCCGTTCAGCCAAAGGAAAATCACAATTCTGCAGCAGGGTCCACCCATCCAGTCTCTACGGTAACGACTCTCAGTATGCAGTGTGTTTGGAACATGAAGGCAGCCAAGAAACTCCACAGTCGGTAGTAAGTGTGGTGTTTCACTTCCTAAGTTTCTTTGTAGCTTTTTGGCTTGGATCCATAGGCCCAATCCCATTTCTTATTTTCACCCCTACCCCTTGTTTTCGAGTGTCACCTTGCCCCTTGAAACTGAGTTACAAGGGGTAGTGGTTGAAATCTTCCCCTATGAAATGGAACAACCCTCAAATAAAAAGAGCATTACTTCAGTAACAGCTACTAGCGCTGCTCTGTAGGCGACCCTGCCAGTCTGCAGTGAAAGCAGAGGAGGGTAAAGTTCAGCAGCCTCACTGCATTTAGGGAATCATATGCTTTCAAAGAGGGGGGATGCGATAATTATTTGTTGCCCACCCCTAATTCTTGAATGATATAAAGCTGAAGTCAGCTATTCAGCAGGCTCTTGGTCGAATTTTCCCATTCCACCTTAAACGGCGTCAGAACCACTGCACTGTTTAAGGTAGAACTGGAAATTTAGCTAGCTAGCTACCGAGACATCAGCATACTACTAGTGTTTATGCTTGTTATGAGGAAAAGGACCATAATTCATTGAAATGACATTAAACTAAGATAATACAATGATTATTGTAATTTTTTAATGAAGAAAATACTCACATTTGTTGGTTTCTTTGGTCTCTTGCGCCGCCATCTTGCCTTTTTTTTCTTTTATAACACTCTGTTTGGAGTGCGCCTCTCAAAAAGCTTCGTTTGGAGAATAATGTAGCTCTAACATTTTGCCCTACCCCTCTCAACAAAAATCAGGACACCCTATCCCTAGGTGTGAACGCGCAAAATAGAGGGGTAGAGCAAGTGGTAGGGGCAAGGGGTGAAATGGGATTACTCGATGTAATGAATATTTCTTGATGATTTGTGTGTTTATTCCTGAAATTAGTCATATGCTCAGGTTAAAATGTCCAATATTAGATAGCATAATGACAGCTAACTAACCTACTGATGTCAGCTATTAATTGCAAGCAAAGTGTTTAAATATAAACATATCTACCATGGAAGTAACTGGACACTGAACATTCTTGGCAGTCTAGATCACATAGTGAAAGAGGTAGTGCAGTATTTCTGATGGAGTAGAGGTTGTTCTGAGTGTTTGATTTGCTTTGTAGTCTGTTTATTGGTTAATTATGAAGATCCTTGAACGGAAACTTCATTTTAGGGTGTTTATTAATGGCTGTGTTTACATGCAAAGACATTTGCCAATCCGATTGAATACATTCCAATTACAGATTTAGACTGAGGTGTTTATATGCTCACTCTGCTCAACAATCTGATGGAAAATCTTCGCTTACATGCTCGCTACAAGTAATCCAATCCAAAATGACGCGCATGCCTGGAGAACCACTTAGAGTAAACGTTACCATGACAACGAACATCACGTGAGGTCCAGTCAGAGTGAGATGAGTTTTCAGTTGGTGCGCTTGTTGGTGTTTTTAATTGCTTAAAAATTATGTCTGACTCAGAAAAATGCCGAGAGGAAGACGTCGTGTTCTGAGACACATAAGCTTGACGTCCATCCCACCACCGTCTATTAAAATTCAAAGCGTAAACTTCGTCTCCTCTGCAGACCAGTTTCTGTTGAATGTTATAAACTTGCTCTGTGATGTGACGAACATGCGCAGAATGCACTTTCACGTTCCGATAGGTAATGTAATCAGATCCAGGCGTTTACATGGTTATTATTCTATTATTTAACGGATTATTTACAGGATTACCCACTTCTTTCAGTCGGATAGAAATTGTATTCCGAATGATCTCAATCGGACTAGACTATTCCAACTGAGGTATATATATGGACATACTCTATTCCGATTGAGTTATTAGTTGGATTATTAATGGATGCAATAGATATAAAAATGAAATAGATATAAAAAAACACCAAACAGCTTTACTGAACAGTGTTTTTTATGATTATATCATGTGGCATCAGCAGCCACCTAGAATCCTGCAGGTTAAGGCAAGTGTGAGATTTACACAAGCAGTTAGCATGATGCTTTTACTCGTTAACTCTATCAGCTTCATAGCTCCAGCACAAAACTCAAAGAAGCAAACCAAACATGTCTTGGCTGATTGCATTTAAAGTAGTGGGAACTGTGTACATTTGATTTTTTGTTTTAAATATTTAGTTTAAACTCTAATGCTGAGTCTGAGTAGATCTTTAGACACATTAACTGAATTAACCCTGTGAGTTTAATTCATCTCCTGAATGGCTTTAATTGAAATTGACACTGACCCGATGTCCGCTTATCTATCAACATCAGAAGCCATTAAGTAACCTCTCCAATCAAAACGTCTCATTTACGCGACGTGGATGCTCAGGGTTCATTTTTTAGTTGCAGAGCGTTCCTCCCGGAATATATCTCCGATAGTTTTAGCGATTGGGTCGACGTGAGATGAATTTAAATCCCAGAGGCACTCAATAGCTAATTTCACTGTTGTTAATGCTGCCATTAATCAGTGTAGAGCCTGACAGGCCACTATAGGGAGACAGTATGTTCAGTGTGCGTAGTGGAGAGAAGTGGACGTGGGTGGCCAAACGCTGGCTGCTGCTGCTGCAATGAAGTGTTCGCCATGCTCATATATTTCATTACTCAGCCTATAACAGGAACCGACAAGGTGAATTATTCAGAATGCAGCTACCTCCTACAGTGCTAGCAGTCTTTATGAATGAATTAGCGTGCGTACGCATGCGTATGTGTTTGTATGTCTGTGTGCGTATGTTTATGCTTCTGTGTGCTGTTTATGTATGCGTTCTGATGGGAAATGGCTTCTTGCCCTGGGTGAGTGTTTGCATACCCAGCATGCTTTTGTTTGCTCATCTCACCTTGGGGGCTTTTCTTGGTGCATTTTTGTATTATTAATCTCCCTCACTCTGTGTGTGTGCGCAGTGTGAGCAGTCTCATCTGCTGAGGGAGCATGAGGAGGTTCAGGAGAGGACGACTCTGCGCTACGAGGAGAGAATCACCGAACTGCACAGCGTCATTGCCGAGCTCAATAAGAAGATAGACCTGCTCCAGGGAACCACCATCAGGTCTGCTTTCTCTGTCTCACCCTCTCATGTTTTTATGTCTTGCTAAGACATGGGGTCACACGTTCCCAGTTTATTAGGTCCACCTACCATACATCTGCACTTGAAGTTTAAAGTTGCTTACTGATTGTAGCCCCTCTAACCCATTCATCATTGGAAAAGGACCATCGCTGACCAGAACATTCTCAATTTAATTGTTTGGCTAAAAAATGTTAGTTACACAATTTTCAACACCAGATGTAGTTGAACCTGGAAATGTTTGGTGTCCAAATTGTGCAACTTTAATTTAACACTGGAGCTACATTGCAAACAAACACTAGAAGTTAATAGTCACCCAAATCGTTTCTGTAAATACATCCCCAACACTTTTCTCAAGACTTTCACAGACTTGTCGATGAGGTTTAGGACACAGTTTGACTTACTGTGAGCTATAAAAATAAACAGAACTTCACCATGTACCTCAATGCAGCTGGGAACAATTTTAGACAACAGGTGTTGTGCCGAGTTCCACTTCCTCTACACAATCTGACTTTCCTTCATGTGCATACTGTTATAAAGAAACAGCGAAATCATGAACGTAATATGTAGCATCCGTATGTGTGCATGACATGTGTGCATGAAGGGTGTACGAATCGGCACAACACCTGTTGTCTAAAATGGCTGCCTGTAGTGTTCAGCTACACAGTTGGTAGGTCATTTTTATAGCTCACAGTAAGCCATACCACGTCCTAAAACACATCAACAAGTCTGTGCATCCTTAGTGAAGACCTGGATGTGGTTTGGGTGGGTTCAGAGATGTTTTTTGGCAATGTATTTGCAGACAAGATTTGGGTGACTATTGACTTCTAGTGTTTGCAGTGTTAGCCTTGCAGCTTCAGTGATGTAAACTGAAAAAGCAGCAAAAGAGCGCCGAGCATGTCTTGTCTGATCGACTGCATTTGCAGTAGTGTAATTTTTTAATGCAGTAAGCCACAAGAGTCTATGCTTTATAGTGATTTTCTCACAGATAAGGAGTCTTGTAAGACATGCTGTTAGGCCTCTGGTGGCTTATTGCTTTTGTAAAACAGCAGCAACATATAATATGATAGAAGACATCTGGAATAATTGGAAAAATTTTGTGATTTTTTTTGCCGAACCATTCCATCAGCGCACCAGTGAGACTGACATGGTAGAGTGTCTGGTGCATTTACTGGCCACTTTATTAGAAACCCCTCTGTTGTGGCTCCACCTTGCTTAATGTACAGTTAGTGACTGTAATCCATCTGTTGATAAAGGGTTTGTGTCATCCATCCTCTAGCTCTACATCAGTGGGCAGTTTCTGACCACAGAGCTGCTCTTGGACACTGATGTGTATAAGAACTCCAGGAACACTGCTGTGTCTGATACACTGATACCAGCACTACACACACTGCCATTTCTGTGACATGTAAGGCGATGAATCTTGTGGCCAAAATTAAGAATTTGTCAAAAGAATAATAGAAACATGTTAATCATATGTACAGTTATATGCAAAAGTTGGTGTGACCCAGTCAGTTTACATGTTTTGTTGAATTTCTTAGTGAAAATATGTGAACATCCTCTACAGAGAACACACTTCTACACATTGTAATGCACAATTACTGTTTATTTGTATTGGAAAAACTGAAATGTGTCATGTGGAAAAGATATGGCACATTTTATATATTTTACACATTTATATAACATTTTATATTATATATTATATATAATTTTATAAATAACTCAGCAAATAAATAGAAGTTGTGCACTAAAATTGCATAATAAATAGAAATGGTGCTCTAAAAAAAATCCCTGTTGTTCCCTGTAGAGGATGTGTTAACGTTTTATTTATTTATTTTACTGAAGACTTCATTTCATAGAGTAATATTAGCATGCATTAGCCAGTGGAACAGCATTTAGCAAGGGGGACCACCAGGGACCACACCATAATGTTAGCGTTGGTTACAGGTAACAAATTCTGACACATCTGATTTGTCTAATTACTTTCATCTCTCGAAACAGGTTTCTTAAAATGAATAAATATTTTCAGAGCTATTGGTCATTCAGGCCACAGGCTCTGCATTTTTAGTGAACTCTTGTGGCCAGGGGTGCCAGGCAATAGGCTAAATCTACCTGTCAATAGGTTAGCCCGATTGTGTGCGGTTTCACTACATAGTTAAGACGTTTTTGTTCTAAAAGGGTATGAAAGCAAACAAATACACACACACACCACCTGGTCAGACACACATGCAAACACATGCCTCACTATCCCTCCCTTTCCTCACACACACACACACACATTCCCCCTTATCCTGCTAATCCATGCCTGGGGCTCACTGTGTGTGGTCAGGCAGAGAGCCATAGAGATAGACAGACCACTCCCTCCAGCCTGCAGGCTGAGTGTTCACGGAGAGAGGAGACGGAGGGTCAGCCGCAGGTCCGCTGCTCAGGGAGCTCAGTCTGCTTCTACAGCCTGAAGCTGTGGTTTTAGACAGACCAGACGACCGGTTAGCCGAAACAACAGCCACGTTTATCTCTGCTGATGATTGTCCCAAATGAGGTTGAAAACTGGGTTGTTGTCAGCTCACATGCCAAACTTCAACTTGAAATCACCATAAAAAAAGGAACATGTTGAAGACCTTTAACAATTTCCACTCCCTGATTAAAACGTGCTCCATGTAACTGGAACTGTTTCCATGTCCCATTACGCTCATGCTTCTGAAAGCCTTGTCAGAGTTTCAGATAATTGGCTGTGATAAAATGTATAAACCTTACAGTGAGGTCCAGAGGAGCTCGAGATTTCTGCCAGTTCTGTTTTTGCGCAAATTCCACCCCACGTATGCAGAGCTGTTTCCTCAAACATACTGTCCTGCTGGGTGGGCGATATGGCAAAAAATTATATCAAGATATTTCAAGACATTTTAACCATACACGATATGAATCATGATATTCAGCTTTTTTGAGATTTAATAAGTCATAACAGACAAAATAGAATCTACTACAGTGATTTTTATTCAGTGTTTCACAAACTCCACTGCACTAAATCCAATTAACCATGTGTGCTTTGTAATGAAACATGCAGTTAGTGTTCTCAGTGTACTGATGATATCCACGATATGCTCAGAAAAGCATAATGTGACAATTTATAGTAATAATAATAATAATAATAATAATAATAAGTTCAATTTATATAGCGCCTTTCTCAAACCCAAGGACGCTTTACGATAAGATGAGAAAATAGCAAAATACATAATCAGCAGTAAATAAAACAACACAGGACACACACACACACACACACACACAACTCTACATTTCCACAGTATAGAGTCACTTAGCTAGCCTGAAAAGAGTCTTTAGCCGTGGGGAAAGTCTCACTCCACAACTATGGTGCGTCACACGGGCAGCCAGCCTAGGAAGCCTCGAAAGCCGAAAATGTCCTTAGCCACGAAGGGGAAGCATTTTCCTGCATACACCACCAGTCCAGGCAGACTCATAACTACAGTGCAGCATCACCCAAGTGGCCGGCCCAGGCAGCCATGTAGCTATGATGTTGCATCACTTAGGCCACCGGCCCGAGAGGCCTCCTAGCCGTGGCATAGCGCTGCTCTCGCAGCTGAACACTACTGGTCCAGGCAGCCACACAGCTGCGGTGCAGCGTCATCCGAGCAGCTGGTGAAGCAGCCACGTATCTACGAGTATGTAGAGTCAATCAGGTCCCCAGTCCAGGCAGCCTCGTAGCCGCAATACACCATCACTCAAGCAGCCTGTCCAGACCGCATCATAGCTGTGTTGTAGCGTTACTCAAACGGTCAGCCCAGAAAGCCTCTGAGCCATGGGTGGAAAATCACTCTCGGCTGCTGTCTTGGTGGAATGATGGCAAACTCCTCAGCCGGCAGGGAAACATCAAAACATTCACACAAACAATACAAAACGAAATAAACAAAACCCCGTGGTAAAGCGACAGCCATATTGCACCAGCTTACTTACAGCACAACTTATCATGATAACGATAAATTATTGTCATATTGCCCACACCTAGTGAATTGCCTAGTTGAGGTTCTGTATAATTGGATGTAGTGCAGTCTGTAAAATGTTGAATACAAATTGTTTGATTCATAGTTTTTGATATTATTTTTTGAAGGTGACCCTACTGGTTCATTTTGTCTGTTCCAGTTTCAAGTTTTGTGATACTTATTGTGTCATGAAACTGTCTCAAGAGGTTATGTTTTTGCCATATATAGTGTTATATTTTTACCAAATCTCAACAAAAAACAGGACATCTTACCCCTAGATGTGAACGCTCAAAACGAAAAGGGAAGAGCTAAGTGGTAGGGGCAAGGGGTGAAATGGGATTAGGCCATAATCAGGAGGAAGAAAAACATACTAAAATATGGTATATACACGCTGCTGCGAGTCACCCTGTAAAACCTGAAATAGTACTTTAAAAGTCAGATGTTGTGTCGGATTTTGCTGGAGTTTTTCAGTCCACGTCATGTGTCTTTACGTATTAATGTCATGCACAGGCTCTAAAAGAAGGTTCAGCCCAATGTTTAGGACTCAAATACAAAATCAACATTATACTGATGAATATATGATGACAGTAGTAGATCATTCACTCACATCCTCAGACGACACGTCCTTCATCAGGTTTTCTTTGAATACGCTTTCAACACAGTCTCAGTCATCAGATTCATCCACTCAGAGAAGGGGTCGAAATGTCCTCATTTCCACCAGAGAGGTCTGTAAACCGTCAGGTGTCCATTACAGTTGGTCGTCCCTTCAGTTTTGCAGGTTTTGCAAAGAAAATGGCAGAATCTACAGCTTTCTATGTAACATTAAGTCACTGCAAACTGACAAAGACAACTTGCTCATTTATATTGAAAGCATTTTGAAATGCTAAGTGTCCCCAAACAGGGCAGGGTAGAGCAGTGTTTGGCTAAAGCATTCCTTTGATAACCAAACATGTTTCCAGCAGATAAACTGTCTCGTCTTATTAATCATTCAGTTCAAACAAAAGGTGCAAAATATTATCAGTGAATTGAGTCGCCCTGCTGATTTCCTCCAGCAGTGAAATTGCCGTTTTATTGGTGTTTTAAAAAGAACAGATTTGCTGCACACATTGGTGACATTTTCTCAGCGGAAGATGACAGAATCTCCACATTCGTTATCTTCCTGTGCATGTATGTGCATATATTAGCTTGTAAATTAGGAGAACTCTGCAACAAATGTTACTTCACTTTAATTAGCAGAGCCTCTGGTGTGCGCGACACGTGGTCAGGTCAAGGTGGACGCATATTCATTAGGGAGATACCTGGGTCCAAACGAATAAGTGTGTGTCGCTAGTAGATGTGCATAGAATTGCATATTCATCAGTGAGTCATCACTGAGTAATGTGGTATAATTAGCTTTGAGGCTGTTGAAGCTCAATATTGAAATCGCAATAATTCTCCCAATTTAATAAAAAAATGTATTTTTTGCACAGAAAACAGTCAATTTTTCACATTTTGCAAAATAAACCCATATTCCAGCAACACTAGTGCTTATTCTGGTCAATAATGTCCTGCATTTTTTGTTTCCGCATTTCATTCTTGGAAAAATGTTGATGCAATATATTTGATGCAGAAAATGGCTTGAAATAGTCTCTTCTATGAGGGACACCTTTAAAATTTCAAAGTTAACTACTTTGAGAGGTTTTTAAAGTAAAAAATGTCTTAGTGCTGTGATGCTTCAGAACTTGGACCACGAAACAAAAGCATCTTTAAAAGACTGACTTTCTTGTGAAAAATGTTTGAGCTAGTTCAGAAAAGATTCATACCTATATAGAAAAGGTAATTATAATGTGCTCACAGATGGTGCTGAAAATTTTGGCTAAATCTGTTGATCCATAACTGACTGCCAGTAGTCAGCAACTAATTGTTAATTGTTAAGGATGCAACCCATCAAAATTTCAATTACAAAACAGATCATTCCGGCTCTGAAATCTGATTGGTTTGAGCCTCAATCGAAGCTGTTGTAAAAATACTTAATATACACACAACTATATCTAACTGTTAGCAAACTATGTTGGTTTGTGGACAAATTCTTTATTGCAATTATTATTAATAATAAATTTCAGTTATGGCTGGGCCATGGTCCAAGCTTTTGTAAAATATTTGATACTGAGGTATTAAAAAATGTTCCTTGTATGGACGTTGAAACACAGTACTGATAGGTGAGGCCAGGCATTAGCATGTACATGAAGTAAACTGCCCAAGAAACCAGTTTTCTATAAACTGATAACTGAGAAATATAATAAGTGCATGATTATGTGATCAAAAACTGAAAAATAACAAAATCACTAGACAGTATAATGATGGGCTACTGGCAGTTCTATATTCAAAAGTTGAAAAGTTATATTTACCTCTTATTACTTGCCCAAGTTAAGACGAATAAAAGTGTTATGACCAGGGCTAACTGTGGCTCACTTTACCTCATAGGCCTTTGACAGCTGTTGCCGTCCACTGCGTCCTTCTCTGTAATTTTACACACCCATGTGTGACCACTGTGCATCACACTTTCTCTTGGAGAACATGGACGAAATCTTTTCCTGCTGTTTGAACTACTTGTGCCATTAAGATCATTATTTGTCACATTTATTTGATAGGTGAAGAATGTGTTCTAACAAAATGTATTGATTTTTTGCGTCACACATCACCTTTTTAAACAAGGAAACGTAAATAGAAATCGACTTCACATTTTTATCAATAATCTGATGAAACAAGTCAATAAAATACGTTTTCAAAGTAACATGAACTGCATTCTGAATGTGTGCACACTCACTTAGAAACTTGCAGTGCATCAACTATAAAGGCAGCATTGAGCTCCTTTTATACAGTGATTGGTTCCACATGCTGATCTAATTTACTATTACCAACATGGACATTCACTCTACTCTGGGGGCAGATTTCAATGAGTAAGAGATGTTATGTAGGTTAGGGTTAAAATACAAATAATTGTGCCTTACAGGCCAGTAGAGTTTTTGTAATTTATAATAAACTAAATAAAATAAATAATAAAATAAATGACCATAAATCATTTTCTAGGCATTCTGTTTTTAAAAAACTGACCAACATTTATTTCCTCAGTGTAGCTTTTCTTATTCCCAAAGCAGCTTTTCCAAAGTCCTGCCCTGAACCTCTTCCATTTTTGTGAAAAGGGTTAGACTTTTATTGCAGTAATGCATGTATGCTCTGTGCCTGTGTTCCATTTGTGGAGATGTTCTGCCCTCTGTGCCTTTAATATGTCTCACTGTCACACTGACCCTATTACTGCTCTCTGGAGTCCAGACTGTGGTCATGTGTAGTGTGTGCATTAATTCATTTCTCTCTCTGTGTCTCTCTTAGGGAGGAGGATGAGTTTTCGGAGTTGCGCTCCGAACTCAGCCACAGCCAACAGGAAGCCAACGAAGACGAGCGGAGCGTGGATCAGGACCCCGACCAGGCGTCCGTCTCGCTGCCCGAAAACCAATCAACACTGGTCACTGCAGACATGGGTGAGCAAGCCTGCAAATCAATTTAGGCAGATTCATGAGGTAACATGACCAAATTCATGCCTACATTTATGTGCTCACACTAACCCTGCAAGACTCCAAATGGTTTGTACACAAAGTGCTTCTACATCCATTTTGCTTAATTATTTCTCACTCTTAGCTCACTGAAAAAAATGCGGAAATTCTGTGGAAAGTTCGAATAGAAAACTTTAAATCTGTACCAAATCTGAGATTTTATTATATGAATTTCCTAAAAAAGTTTGTTTTGTTTTGTGGCTAGAAAAACGTCTTTACATTTTTGCAGACTCACAGAGTTGGGCTGCTGAGAGCTGAAGCGCACAGGGCCTGTCCTTTGTTGAATCACTAACTAATGAGTTCCAGATCACCTCTGGAAGCAACATCAGCAAAAGAATTGCACGTTAGGAGCTTCACGAAATGGGTTTACATGGCCGGACAGCTTTACACAAGCCTAAGATCAAAATGCACAATGCTAGACGAGGGGTGAGTGGTGTAAAGCGCCGGCACCAGACTCTGGAGCAGTGGCAATGTATTCTGTGGAGTGATCAATCACATTTCTCTATCTGTCAGTCTGATGGACAAGTCTGGGTTTGGTGAATGCCAGGAGAACATTACCTGCCTGACTGCATTGTGCCAACTGTAAAGTTTGGTGGAGGAGGGATGATGATATGGGGTTGTTTTTCAGGGGTTGGCCTAGACCCCTTAGTTCCAGTGAAGGGAAATCATAATGCTTCAGCAGACCAAGACATTTTAGACAATTATATGCTTCTGAGGGGAGGCTGTTAAAGCTGCAAAGCGGGGACCAGCCTGGTATTAATACCTATGGATTTAGAATGGGATGTCCTGAAAGCTCCTGTGGGTGTAATGTGTAGGTGTCCCAATACTTTTGCCCTTGTAGTATACCAGAGAGTGATTTTACTGCTAAACATTAAAGGCAGCCAAATCATCAGGTAGGTTGATTAAATTTGATACACTGTAAAATTGGGATGGGTGATATAACAAAAATACGACATCCTCAAAAGTGCATGTTGTGCCTCACAATAATAAAACCAAAACATATCAATCCAGAATGTCACAAGATAAAGAGATTTTCTAAAGTATTAATTAGCTGACTGGCATATCTTACCTTAATAATGTGGATGGATTATAAATGAAAATGCAAAGATCAGATTGGTATCGATTTTCAACGTTAAAGTACTGGGATTGGATTGAGGGGCTGAACTGAACTGAGAAATCTCTAATCAAATGTAAATGTTATTAATTACATAATTATTAAGTTACAGGATTATGCAATTCTATTTAAATTGATATGTAATGTACATCGAATATCATCAAATGACTTTAATATGTACTCTTTAAATAGTTAATTGCCATGAAAGTTTGATGTAAATCTATCTAGAGCAAAACTCACAACACAGTGTTAATAAGGCTTTCTTAGCTTTTACTCTCAGTTAGCTCACTTTTCAATATCATGAAGGCAGTTTTAAGGACAGAAACACTGACACTGATTGCATTTGCAAGAGTCGTTTACTGAAGAGGTGACCGTATCTCTATCTGCAATACTCGAGGGAAATATGTAAGTAAAGGACGTCTGATTGTGATTGGCTTCTTTTGGGTTGACCTTTTGTCTCACCATCGACAGGAACATGTCTGTATCTCGTCTTCTGCGCTATTATCTTGTTGCCGTTCTGTAGGCCAAGCAGAAACCCATTATATGAAGACCGACTACAATCTGGCATTCATCATTTTCCGTGTATTGGCTTCTTTGCAGTGGGTAGCGGTTGAGCGTTAAGTCAAAAGCAAACTGTTTGATTGATCCAGTGGCGTCCATTAGACAGATACAGACCGGTTCCCTCTTTGGGTTGGTTTACTGTGTGTGGAGTGTGTCCATGCATGCTCTTGAGTGTGTTTTTCTAACCCCTGAATGGAAAATTGATTTGGAAATGTTTTCCATGGCAATCACACTTCTCTCCTCTTCTAAAAGGTGCTATCGCTTTTGTCCCCGTGCTCACCGCTATCTTTCCTACAAGACAGTTAAAGAGCGGCTCATTGAATTGTTCTGTTCATGACCCTCATCTTTGATTAAAATCTTTTTCCGTGTGCCAGGTCTTTTGTTTTTTGTCCTCATTCAGGCCGCCGTAGGCTATACACAAAAATGTGCCGTCTCTGGCAGACAGGAAGCAGCTATTGTGCTTCCACAATCGTACTTTTGTTTTGCTACTCACATGCTTTTGCACTTTTAGCCCATAGAATTTCACCTCGCTGTACTATTCAAATGGAATTGTGTAATTATGTATTTATTTAGATAGTTATGTAAGAATTATATTAACATGTAGTTTACATTTTGTACCAGTTTCAAGTTTTTCATTCTTCTTTTTTTTCTTTTCAGTGTCAAAATCATAGCAAAACAAAATATTTTTCAAATTATAATAAAATATCTCGTCTTCTACTTGCAAATGCAAATATGGTATGGATTGAAAGGTTAGAATCTGCGTTTTCCACAGAATGAGCCACGAGTGTGACTGAAATGTCACTTGAATTACACACGTCAGATGTTCGTGTTTCAGTCAGAAGTCGCGTCAAACCCAGGCTGAATCCCAAATGGCTCCATATTCCCTAAATAGTGTGCTAGTTATGAAAGTTTAGAAATTCTAGCCTCTACAGCCAAATAGTGCATCATTTGTCAAGTATGGACGTGGCTGAGTCCCAAATGACTATTTCCCAGCTATATTTTGCACTGTTGGCCTGCAGGATCCGGTATTTTTATCCCATGTAGTGCACTATCTAGGGAGCAGGGAGCCATTAGAGATTTAGCCCCAGCGCGAGAAGAGGGCGCTGCTGGAATGGTGCTAAATAACACTTGCGGTGGTATTTTGGTGACCAACAAGTACTTATAAAGTGAAAGTTTTTGCATTAAACAATGCTGTGTTATTATATGTTCATTGTTATATCACTGTTGTTGGAAGAAAACCTTCTATCTCCATTTTGGCATTTTCCAATTTTTTACATAGTTTGAAAATACCTACTGTCCTTTACATTGTGTGTAAATTTCATGATGATTGGACCAAAAGAAATGACCCAAAACAACTTCCAAAATTCTGGTTCCGTTGACTTTTTGACATTAAAAGTAAAGTATGTTTCTTCCTTCTTCTGTAAAGTTATCATTTTGGAGATACAAGGTTTTCTTCCGACAACAGCGATATGTCAGAAAGTTTAAAAAATTCTTAGCGGAATTGTCTGTGTCGATTATTATTAAAAATTATTTTCTGGAAAATTTTGCATTTTATTATATTTTATGTTGGCTGCCATTTAATAAAAGCAATAAGCCACGAGAGGCTGTGGGTTACTGAAATTTTGCCATAGGGAAGGGGGTTTTAGGCACTTTTAGGCATTAAATATGCTAAAATAAAAAGGATGTGTACTTCTTTGAATTAAAAAAAAAAAAAAAAATCAATGAAACGGTCAATGTGTACAAAGTAAGGCCCGCTAAATATGGGTGGTTTTGACAAGTTACATGCTGCAGTTTCTCATTAGGTTCAATGACATTTCTGTTAGACATTCTCTGAAGCTTGTCCAACCCAGCAAAAGTAGCTATAAAAGAATGCATTTGAGGGCAGAGCATGGATAGTTCAGTTACCATGAGTATGGATGCTTAACACACACAAACATATACAACCCCCCATCCTCAGTTCCTCTGCTGAAAAGAAGAGACTGTTTTAGCATGTCTGATCCACCAGATTGCTTTTGAACACACTGTACTTGTTTTGATTTGAATGAAATCAGTCCTATTGTTCTCAGCTTGAAAGCTAAGACTTCCTGCTTAACTATACAGCTGTAATTCGATGGATGATGTCATTGATTTGTCACATGCTCTATTCTTTTTTCACTGAATGGCTCACTCTGAATAGGCTTGCTGAGTGAAGCACTGTGATTATGATTAGACTGGAGTTATGTGTCCAGGATGATTCCCAGGAGAATTCAGCAGTGCATGCATGCATACTTACTCACTGCTGGCTGCAGGTAGTAAAATGAATTCCGTCTTCGACTCCAGATCAATATTTATCTTGTAGGGTAGACCTTACTATTGATTGGCAGCTTGGGCGTAAATCTTAGACCCAGGCAGCTGATTCTGAGCCTCGGCCATTTTATTGTCTTGCCTGCTTGCTGTGTTTGCTAGTAGTATTAGGAAAAGCTAACAAATCTCTGCCACAAGCACACCATCTCAGTGAGGCATCAAATGGGTGAATAGATGCAGATAGACACAGATAAGCTGGACATCCTAAAGCAAATAAGGAAGAACCAAGGCATAAATCAGCAACATATTGATTTTATGTCAGTTTTTTAGAGAACAATACAGTTTAATGGATCATGAAATTTCATTTTGTTCAAATGTTTTTAAAAATACACACAGTGCTCTTTACACAGTAGTGGGATATAGATAGTAAAAACAATATATCAAGCTTTTTTTAAAATGAGTGCTACTTTATTAGAAAAAATGAGTGCTACTTTATTGAACTGTATGGTAACTACTGAGGTCTGTGTCAGGAAAAGAATCCACTTATTTTGGTAACCATGTAGAAAATAACTGCAGTAAACCAATAATAATAACAGCAACACTTTTTATGGTTTTTCGAGATGGTTCTGAACACAGTGAGTGCATTTACATGCGCTCAATAATCCGATCACAATCGAATTTCTGCAGTTATCTGATTATTCAAATGGTCATGTAAACAGCACACTCCGATTTCTTAGATCAGAATAAGGTCTAGAAATCCGATAAAGAAATCTGATAAAGAGAGCTGGATTTTAGCTCAGTAGTCAGATTTCTCAGTGCATGTAAACTCTTACTCTGATTTCTTTCGGATTTCTCAGTGTGCGCATGCGCGAAAACAGACCGCAGCACCGGAAATAAGCAAGCAGCGTCGCCGTGAGACGCAGCAAAACACTTTTGGAGCGACGCTGAAACCGACTACATGCTTGACGAAATAAAGGATTTAAATATTCTTCATCTTCTAGATGATGTATGTTCATAGTTTCAGGTAAAGTGGCGTGATGTAAAAAAAAAAAGGCTGCAGTATGAAGTTTGAGTTTGACATTAAGTGTACGTCACATCTTCTTCTGTGAGCTTATTGGCTGGTTGCAAAGCAGAAATCTCATTACTGTCTGACTCATGTAGACCGGGTGTTTCCCTGTTATCTGATTACTTAAGTGTATGTAAATGCATTGATCGGATTACTGACAAAATCTGATTTTCTGCAATTATTAAGTGCATGTAAACACACTCAGTGATACCATGTGAGTTAAATAAAAGAGCATACTAAAAGCACAGTCCAGTTGAATTTGTGTTTGTAGTTTACTGTCATTTTTGGCCACAACACTATGTCCAGTAAGAAACTGAATCGAGTTGGAAAGAATGGAGTTAGCACATAAACTTTACCTTCCAAGGTCGTTTTGTCCACTTTGCTTGATGCGTTTTTGCCTGATATCAAACTGTACAAGTGGAGAAGTGACGGTGTTTTCTCAAGATCTGAAGCTGTTTTATCTGATGTTTCTGAGGATGTCCAAAACTACACCATAGCATAGCCGACTTTTTGTACAGGCATTATATCTGCCGGCCACAACAGTACACAGTGGCTCCCCCAGCCTGCCTCCAAGCACGTTTAACCAGCACAGCTCAATAGCCACATTTCTAAAATGATCTTATGTATGTTAGGTGCAATAAATGAGATATTAGTGTAGGATAATGTAGGATCAACATGAGTGATGTGAACACATTTAGCTAATACTTTATCTGGTCCAGAGCAATTTACAGTTTGACCACATTACAGATGTAGGCGAATGTAGCGTTACTAATCTTGGCCGAGGAGTCTTACTGTGTGGTGTACCTGCCCGGGCAGGGAATTGAACACCTGTCTGCTGCATAGAGGGCAGCATTATAACTCACTATGATACATTAACCAGTCTTTTTCATGTGTGGGAATACTAGTGTCTTTCTATGGTACACATGAATGAATCAACAAATGAAAAATGTTTTTTTTTTTTAATGCTAAATGAGTTAATAAATTGATTAACCATCAGTGGACACAGCCTAATTCATTCCAAAATTGATGCACCTTCAGATCAATGCATGCATTTCTACTCCCCTGTTGTGCAGTCATTAAGCGCTGTCCTCTAATCCCCTTTTAGATAACTGCAGTGACCTAAACTCGGAGCTCCAGCGGGTGCTGACCGGCCTGGAGAGTGTCGTTTGCGGCCGGAAGAAGAGCGCCTGCAGTCTGTCTGTGGCCGAGGTGGACAGACACATTGAGCAACTGACCACGGCCAGCCAGCACTGTGACTTGGCTATTAAGGTAAATTAGCTAGATACAAAACCCTTTAGAAAAAAATAGTGGCAGATAATATACTGAATGTTCAGTCAGTGAAATATTCATCATTGTGAATTAAGGCTGTGGACTGCTTGGACAGTCTGATTCAGTATATAATATTATTTGTTTTTATTTTATTTTTTTACATAATTGAATTATCATTTATGGTTGCATGTAAAATAAGTATACAGCACAATCATATTTTTCATGTCCCTGGAATATAATTTAAGGCTGAAAGGAGTCGTCGTCATAGTGAAATCTGTTGACAGTGGCAATATTCCCAGTTTTTGACATGAAAGCCGAAGTTATTATGCATTTGCAGTGAGTTAATATGACATTTCTTTCTGCTCACTGTGGTGGTCCTCATTACTGGTTTTGAGTCAGTTTTACACTTTAGGGCTGTGTAATGGAGGCTTTGTTTACTGTAGGTGGGTGACTCACCCCTTATTCACTCAGCTTTCCTCTGTAAAAGGTTTTCCAAAAGGTTTTCCAGACACCAATTAAGCGTAGCCCTGGACTGTTTGTCATTTTCAATGGCAGATCACCAATAACACAACTTCATGTTAGTTTAGGTTAGTTTAGAAAAATACTGTACAGAAAGTTGACCCCTGTCCACAATCAGCACAAATGAAAATGGCTGGCATCCTTCAAAAACCTACAGTCATATGCAAGTGGAAAATAAGTGCACATCCTCTACAGAGAACACACATCTGCACATTTTAATGAGCTATTACTGTTTATTTGCTGAATTTATCATATTGGGAAAAAAAGGTAAAATGTCTCATATGCAAAAGTTATGGCACATTTTAGATTTTATGATTTGTTTTTTTTGTCCAATATGTTAAACTCAACAAGAAAATAGAAATCGTGCACTAAAATTTGGCAGAAAAATAGCTATTTTTAAGTGTGTTTCTTGTAGAGGATGTGTTAACTTATTTTCACTTAGAAAATCAACAAAATGTGACCTGACCAGGGGTGTTAAAACATTTGCATACAACCATATGTACAGAATGAGTTGTTAATGTAAGTTGATGTAAAGAGGTTTTATTTCAAGTGATTCTGGAGTCCATTCATCATGAAATCGTCACACAATGTAAAGGACAGTCACTGTGTTTAAATGATGCAGAATTTATTTAATTTTAAAAATCAACAAAAATGGAGGTACATGTGTTTTTGTACATGTACAAACATTTGAATATCTGTCTTTCGCAGCAAGTCAGCCGTGGAGCAGCCAGAAAAGTGCTAATGTATATGGTAGAGGAGCGGGATTAGGATTACATAAATACGTGCTGTAATTTGAATGATTACTGACAAGATCCATAATTTGAATCCAGTTCCTCAATCCTCAAGTTCATGACGAGACTACTGAATTCCTCACATTTGGTGAGGGCTGAATTACAAGGGGAAAGGAAAATGAACTCGAAAGCACCCCTAGCAAAGTAATGCATTATCTGTCTTGTTGGGCAGCATTTGGTAAGTTAAATGAACCCATTTTACTAGCCTAATGCTTATCTATATAGCTGCCTGTCGCATAATGTTGACGTTAACATCCTTGCGATGATGTTTCGGTACAGGCTATTTGGGGTAATTTGGGGAAATTACAGAAGTCATTTTATCCTGTACGAACCAGCCAGTCAAATCACGCACAAATTACACCACCGAACCTCCTCTGGTAAAACGAATCCAGCTAGAATAAGGCTTTAGACTGCTAAATCAGTCTTTAGTTAAGTCAGCAACTTATGTAGTGCAATTGAATTTGATACAACAATCATACTATATTTCATATTCATTTAACTTCCTATTTTGCAAGCTTATTGCTGTTGTTGCAAACAAAATCTCCATTTTTGTTGATCTTCAGTTTTTGACATAATTTGAAAATGTCTGTTGCCTTTTACATTGTCTGTAAATTTCATGATGAATGGACCAATAAAAAGGCCCACAATTACTTGGAAAAAATTCTGGTTCCATTGACTTACATTAAAAGTAAAGTATGTTTTTTCCTTCTCCTGTAAAGTTACCATTTTGGAGATATGAGGTTTTGTTCAGACAGAATACACAAATGTGACTATTTGCACAATCGTGAAGTTTAGGCAATAAAAACAAGGATGTGAATGATTAACCAAATAACTGTTAAATGGCAAATAAACAATTGTTCGACCAATGCTATTGATTAAAAAATGTTAATTTAATTGTGTTTCATTTCCAATAAACAGCTCAAGGCAAGTATGTCATTCAATTTGAGAAATATTTTTGAATTGTTCACATGAGGCTGCATAACACACTTGGTTTTGCTAGTTAGGCCTTAAAACCTTAAGCGCAGAGCTGAAAGTAGTGGTGTTCGGGCAATTTTTGTAAGGAGGATAACAGTGTACCATATCGAAAGCAAACATCCACAAGCAATAAAAAGGGCAACCTTGTCTTCCATGCCCTCAGATTTTAGTAATTGTCATAATTGTCTGTAATCCATTCTAATATTGCAAAATTGATGCAAATTAAACCACAACCTTAAAATACTTTAATGTATTATTAATCCCCTAGTAGCTGTTCCTTCCATAGGTAGGATCCATGTCAGTCTCCACTGGAAAGCCTAGGCATGAGTGCCATGCTAACCACCATTCTTTGAGTGACAGGCTGTCTCCAACCTCCTGTCATTAGAAGGAATGACTTCAAGGAGCACTCCAACCCCTTCAGTATCAGGTTCAGCTGTGGCCTCGTTAGAAAAATGACCTGTTTAAATGGCCGTTCTTATGAACATATCGTCTGATTATGTCATCATAATGTATTTTCAGTATTACTTGCAAAGAGAAGAGCACTTGAGTCTTAGGTCTGAGTGCTTAAAGGTGCTGTAATCGCATGAATATAATGCAGCTCAGCTAGCCTTTCATGCATGCTGGCTTTAGTATTCTGATGCATAATGATGGTGTTGATTTAAAGTGATCTTGTAGGCTGATCCTGTGTTGGACCCACATCATCTCTCTCCTTGTTTTACTTTATCCTGATTCTGTTTATTTGTGCACACTGAAGATTGTTTAGAGATCTGTACTCAGTGTAAACAGACACAGTGTAAGGCATGTATGAGGATGTGACAACAGAAAGCTCCAGAATGTCTTGTTTCTTAGTGATTTTTGAAGTGGAAATGCATGAACACAACCTTTGCAACAAACTATTTAAAAAAATGTTTTTACATATGTTAACAAACAGTTCTTTAACATTTGATCAACCTAAAAAATTCAGAAAACAATAGAATAGTAATTGTGGCATGTGCAAACGTTTGGACACTTTACTCTCAACAGTTTGCAGGGTGTTCTTTTCATCAAATGTTGCTCTTTTTTCTCCAAACATAAATTTGCTGATTGGGCAAATAGTTAAATAGTTCATACTTCATCAATCCACAGCACTTGTCTTCAAAGTGACACTTGTTTCCAAAGCAACACTGCACAGTAGAACTGTGCATCACCACTCAGTCAGCTATACCTTTCTACAGGTCCTTTGATGTCATGTGGGGGTTTTGCTTTGCCTTCCTGGCCAGTATATGAGCAGTTCTATCTGCGAGTTTTCTTGGTCTTCTAGATCTTGCCCTGATTTCCACAGTTCCACTTAACTGCCATCTTCTAATGACATTGTAAATAGTGCAAATTGCAAGCTGAGAGTGATTTCATGATTTGTAGGCATTAGTTAGCTTCTTTTTCAGATCTTTGCCTTTAAACTGATGCATTTTTACATCTTTACAAGGTATCTTGGTTAGTCTGATTGTTAAGTAAAGTAGCCAGTACGGTAAAGCTTGTGTTTGTATTTGTATGACACAGACAGTAGAGGAGATCGAGGGGGCCCTGGGCAGGGATTTCTACCCGAGTCTATGTGAGGAGCGTGTGCGCTGGGAGAAGGAGCTTGCGGGGCTCAGAGAGGAGAACGAGAGCCTGACGGCGATGCTCTGCAGCAAAGAGGAGGACCTAAATCGCACCAAAGCCACCATGAGCGCCATCCGCGAGGAGAGAGACCGCCTCCGCCGTCGCGTGAGTCACCACTCACCACTCAACTCTCAGCACACGCACAGCTGTCTGGTGCAGGCTTGGTGGTTTCTACATGGAATCTGTAAAAATATTAGGGATGTCTGGCGTATACATGTAACTAATAGTCCATTATACCACATACAAACTGTTGACCAGCAGAGTATAATGGAAACTGACAATAGAATAAAGGCAAGCTACAGTCCATCAGCCAGCTTCTGAATACAGCTGTGATCCTAAAATAACTGGGTTAAAACTTAAAACAGTTGTGCAAATAACATCACTCACTTGCCTCAAACCATGTTAAGCAGTCCAGTAATCTCAAATACACTTGCTTATGTGGTTTCTGACACTTATAATGTGGCTAATGTGGTTTCTGACACCGAGTGACAAACTGATTTCTATAAAAATGCACAGAGGTACAGACAAAATCCATTCTACTACTGCTGTTTGCGTAATGCCAAATACTGGAGTATAATCTTCCGTTACTTGTTAGCTATGTTTGCCTTCAGATACCAAACATGTTTTGGCTGATTAACATCATTTGTAATTCACAGTGGGAATATAAGAGGTCATGCTTTACAGTGATTTTATCATATGTAAGATGTGATGTTAGGCAGCATAGTAAAATCACTGTAATGCACAGCCTCTTGTGTTATTGCTGTTAAAAAACGAACTACAGCAAAAAATATGATAAATATAGCAAATGTTCAAAAAACAATGTATTAATTTAATTTATAATCATCACAATAAACAGCTCTTATGCCAAAAATGTTAGTTCATTTAGGGCAGGATTTTATTTACTTAAATTTAATCTAAGTCATTGTAAAATATTTTATTTAAAGTGATTTTAACCATTTCTATTTGTCTCTTCAGCATGAATTTTTGACGAAGTCTAGGGTTTGCTGGTATTTTTAAATTATGGAAAAATAAACTACAAAAATGGAGATGGAAAGTTTTGTTCTGACAGTGACGATATTATTTTTATGTATCAGTGTATGTTGTTGGAGGCTTGCCTGTTAGCTCTCTGAGTTCATCAGCCTAGTTCTAGTTTAGAAAAATAAGTTTTAACAAAGCTGGGTTCCTGTTTCGGGCCATTTACTTCATATACATGCTGATCTCTGGTTCAGCAACAGAACAATACAGAATTCAGTTGTTATGAGGTGGTCATAGATGTGTATATTGAGTCTTTTAAAACAGCTTCAAATACAGCCAATCAAGCTACATTATCTGTTTTCTAATGTAAATTTGACATTTGGTCAAACAGTTGTTTTAAAGTTGGCAGTATGGCGCTGTGACCCGATTGCTGAACCTGTAAGGGAAGCGCTCTGAATGACACACGCAGTTTAGTTGAATGACAGCAGGATATGAAAAGTGCTATATAAATAAACATGCTGTCCCTTGCCTAGTTATATAAGGGTCAGTTTGTGTATTTTAGTAGATACTGAAGTTGGTAAAAGGGAAAAAGAGATTTCAGTGCAAGACTAGGGATTTTTCAGGCCCGTTGATTGCTCCAGTAATGAACCCCAAATGTATGAATGGTGTCATATGTGTGGTGAATAGTTTTGCCTCGTAGAACAGACATTTACTTCATCGTATCAAAGAGCTAAATCACCAGAAAAGTGTATTTTAGTTGTCTATGGCTTTGTGGTCTGCAATAGACAGCTAGCAAAAGTACAGCACAGTAGCAGAAGCTGACCACAGGGAGAGGCCTACACATACACACAGAGCAGCTGACCTGTGGTCGCCAAGCCCCAATCAAACAACCCTCTACCACAGAGCCCAGTCTGTAATTATGGTCTTCCGGGCATGTTTCGGCTCAAAGGCTGCGGCCTGCGAGTTCAAATATAGCTCTTATGCTAACTCCTACCACTGACAGAGCTCTATGTGATTTTGACTTATGATAGATCTATTTAGGAAGCTTAAAAAAATCCACTTGTCCATAGCGGAAGAATTCAGCTTACGGGTTCATCTCTGAAATGAGCCCCGGCGTAATCATGTAGCATTAAAAAAAAAAAGTCCTGAAGCTTCTGGATCGATACGTCTCCCGGTTTTGACGCGTCCAGTAATCAAATCTGGCTGCCTTCCTCTGGCTGACTGAAGCTGGCTACTTAGCAGGGTAACAAGATTAGTGGTGAGATGCATTGAGCGAATGGGACTAAAGGCTTTCCATACAGACGCTCTGGCCAGACCCCTGGTAAACCCCAGCTTTAGACGGACCTCGCTAGACACAGCAGATATGGCACCCGGCAGAACCATAATGAAATCTGTCCCACTACAGTGTAATTGGACAGATGAGTCGCTCTCCATTTGCTAATGGCATCTGACCACGGTATGGATGTTGAATCCTCTGAGACCAGTGATGGAAGTTGGAGTAGGGATGGGCTATATGACGATTTGTTATCATTACTGTAATAAATTACGTCATTATATGCTTTCATGAGCACAGTGCATACTGGCCAAGCGCATATCGCTGTTGTCGGAAGAAAACCTCGTATCTCCATTTTTGTCGTTTTTCAGTTTTTGACGTAATTTGAAAACGCCTGTTGTCCTTTGCATTGTATGTAAAGTTCATAATGAATGGACCAAGAGAAATGACCCAAAATGACATGGGGGGAAAAAGTCTGGTTCCATTGACTTACATTAAAAGTAAAGTATGTTTTTTCCTTCTCCTGTAAGGTTATCATTTTGGAGATACAAGGTTTTCTTCAGACAACAGCGAGATATCATAAATAGTAGGTTTAGGCCAATTTTAGAGAGTCTATAACGACAACCAGTGGTGTCATTATGTTTAATAAAAAACAAAAGTCATTGCACTTTTAATACCAACCTCAGCTCTAGAAAAGTTGGTACAGTATGTAAATTGCAAATAAAAACAGTGATTTGTCAACAAAATTTGACTTGTGTTTAAAAAAGCAGTACAAAATATGTTGTTTTACCTTATCAGCTTCAAACATGAACATCACTTATTTTGAAAGTGATTTTCAACAACTTAGGCTTTCATCTTATGACAAGGAGATCACGAACACAGCATGTCCAGTGTTTGAATGCTCAGAACTAGCGTTTCATAATCTACAGCTAGCTGGCTAACTGCAGGACCATTCTTCTGAAACTGAGGTCATGCAAGCTCCCACTGTGAGTCTTCACGGTCAACTGCAGGGAAACACCGAAAGCCTTGATGTTAGGAGGGGTAGGTAATGTAATAATAAGCTTATAAATGAAGCACTCTCATAAATGAAGTTAATCGCTTATAGTAGGATCCTGCAACAGGTGGCTAAGGCAAGTAGGAAGCAGCGTCTAGCTACGCTACAAACAACGGTGTAACCCTGCATTCACACCGGCAGCGACTTTCCGCCTCTTGTCGCCCAAATCGCTGATCGCTCTTCGCCTGTGGCCGTTTCTGAAGTCCATCTGACCATTGGTTGCCATGGTTTCACTGACACCAGAAATCTCCCGGTCTCATTAAAAAAAAATGTCCTCCTGCCACCTTGTCTCGTCGCCTGGCTGCCGGTGTGAAAGCAAGGTAATAATCTTCATTAATGTAAGTACGCTACATGCTGAGAGTTTTGGCCGGGGCTCACGGATGCGAGCAGGAGAGCAGTCACTTTATGTGAAGTAGAGGAATGTGAGTAGCTGACATATGCGTTGGTGCTTTGGCAGATCTGATGCCACTTATGTCAAATTTAGTCCTGCCCAACTCTGTACATAGTGTTAGCTCTAAAAATGGGCAAAAGTACAGACGAAATTTAGGCATCAAGATGGCTACTACTGTTTTACCTCTATACTTTTGTCCATGTTTATGGATAACAGTATGTCATACAGTGTAACAAACCACATAAGCAAGTCTGTTTCAGATTGCTTTACTTGTTTGGAATGAGTGTGGATAACTGCACATGCTGCTAAATGGCGTAAATATGCTTCCCTTAGTTGTTAGCTAATTTAGCCTAATAGCTCACGTAAGCAAATCTATTTGAGATTATTTAAAATCTTGACACAGTTTGTGGAATTATGTGATGTTTCAGGCCTGCAGTTTGCGCAGTGCTAATTGGTGGGGTATGAACTCCCATTATTTGTTAGCTGTGTTAGCTGTGTAGCTCCAGCAACCAAACTGAAGCACCCTTCTTATGCACCAAACATGTTTTAACTGATAGATTACATTCAGGCTAAAGGGACAAAGTAAATTTCAGCCTGGAATTTACTACTCTGCCGTTTTTCTGGGGAGGTAACTGTTTTCTTCTGAACAAATACATCAGATGTATCATAATCTATTATAAAAAAGGGAGTATGGTAGAATGCAGCACAGTGGCTTCATTCACTTCTACTTTCACTGGACACAGATTTATTGTAGCGTGTTTAAGAAACCCGGTTGCTAACACGCACCCGTGTTCTCCTGTAATGTAACAAATTTAAACCATTGCCTTTTTGCTTTGTGATGAGGGCGTCACAAGGAAAAACCCAAACTGCATAATAAGTAGTCCAGGCGTGCTTTTGAAAGCGAGACGATGATTGTATGGCTGTCCTTTTTCTGGGCTTGGATTGGAGCTGGACGGTGGATTAGTTTGTGATGGCAGATACGCACTCCTTTCTTTGTCCTTTGGCAACCTTTCTGCTGGCAGAGGAGGTTCGTTTGCCTAGGAAAAAGGACTGCTAACTCACTGCCAAGCTTTCTCTTTCTCTCTCTCTCTCTCTCTCGCACTCTCTCGCACGCTCTCACACTCTCGCTCCCTCCCTCCCTCCCTCTCTCTCTCATTTCTCTCTAAAACACACACACACACACACACACTCTGTCGTGAATGCTGTTGATGTGCCAGGTGCTCATAGGGAGATGAAGGTGGGGAAATCTGTTCTCTCTCCGGGCCTCACAGTTGACGTCTTATCTCAACACACCTGCACACACACACACACACACACACACACACACACACACACACACACACACACACACACACACACACACTCTTTTTCTCTCTCTCTCTCTCTCTCTCTCTCTCTCTGTCACACTCAAA